TAGAAGACAGACAAAGATTTCGTCTGTTTTTTTACTTCATCTATTTTAGACCGGAGAACAAAGTCTCACTGTCAAAAAACTGACAGTTGAAACAGAAAGTCAGTCGATGTTTGCTGATTGACAGATCGACTTATGATCTTTTTCAAGTGTAATAATAGACTCTTGTGTCAAAGTACTCACTGAACATTGTAGGCCAAAGACAGACAATGTCAATATAGAACCTTACAGAAAAATGCATTGTTTTAGGTTGTCACACCACACAATAGCACGGAAATAGTAAGTGGATAGAAAGAGACAGATACCAAAGTAGATAAAGGTGGATGGGGGAGAACAAATTTTGAAATCAAGGTTAGTGGAAATTTTCAAGCTTTAGAAGACGTCAAGGAGTAAAATACATCTGCAATATTGCGACCGATTTTCAGCCATTTCACTAGGGGTCTTTAACCACTGATTCATGTCGTCTCTAGGGCCCCAGCTGAGTAATCTTCACCTCCCTACACGACTCAGACTAACAGTCGAAAATTTTATCACTTGGTACCAATTTATTTTTATCCTTAAACTGGAAGTGGCTGGAAACCATTCTTGAAGTATTACCTTACACTTGACAGATGCAAAATGCATGCCTTTTTTTTTTCCCTTAACGCGTTCAGAAGACTGCACTTTATCGGTCTTCGCTTAAGAGGATAATAACATCTGCATGCTCCTGGTCAACCGTAAACCTCCAGTGTAGGCTAGTCGGTGCGAATTCGGAAGTACCTAAAATATATCCATCTGTATATCTTTAACGAAAGTAACTAGGAACGTTGACAGCGAGCATCCCTGGTGGACACCACCAGTTTGCTTCAATCCAGACAACTCTTTATAAGCTTTTAAACACCTGGGTGGGTTCAGGTGGATAGCTTTGGTAAGTAATATGTACTTGCTTGATACTCCTTTCATGTCCAAACACTGCCACAACACCTCATGGTCGATAGAGTCGAATGCCACAACTAGACCATCGGAAGTGTCAACCGCCGGTAAGTATGCTTGTTCCCCATAACCTATCAAAGGGGTCCAATCTGATCGATACATCGTTGTGCACGTCTGAAACGTAACTGGTTTACTCGAGTTTGTTGTTCTTGAGTCCCAGTCAGGCACTGGATAAGTAGACTCATCGATCTTGGACACGATGTTAGTCAAACAGATTCCCACATGGTTTTCACGAAACGTCTTTCCTTTCTGATGCAAAGAAATAACCAGTGGAGAAAACATGTTCGAAAAGACTACGATTAATTCCCTAACGCCACCTAGAACATCAGCAACTCTACTTAGCAACCTTGAAAACAGGTGTCAAACTATCGTTTCCTGTTACTTTACATCGTTTCAGGTTCGAAAAAGCCATCTCAACTATGACAAAAGAAAACCCATATCTAAGTTCTATTCTGGTTTGCGCTGGATGCTAGGAAACTTGAGGATTTCTGCAGACCAGCTGAATTGCTCCAAAAAGCGTTTCGATAAAGCGACAGTTATCAGCCCTGAAAGATTATTCGCATCTCATCCTATTGTGATAGTCTCATTAATTGTCGTCTTCTTGTTGCCAGAATTCTCGATAAGCCTGTATAATTGCCGGGTACTAACTAACAATGATGCCTTTCTCATCTCTCGTGCTTTCGCCACCCACCACTGCTTGGGATCATTCAGAAGACTCCTGGTCAATTTACGTTTAAGTTGCTTTCTCTCTTCACCATAATCAGAGCCAGTTGGAATCAGTTTTCTGACATCAATCAGTTCAGATGACTTTGCAGAAATCCACTGGTGTTTACTAATCAATTGGCTTAACCACTGTTTCTACCGCAAAATAAATATCATGCTAGGTTTTCTCAAGATAAACGCCGCTGTCACGTTCAGATTAATGCTTATCGAACTCCTCCCCAAATACATATTTGGCGTCTTCACCTTCCAATTGAGCATAGACAGGCTTTACCATCGCTTCTTTCCTGCAACTAACAAGGTGAAGACATACAAAAGCCCGTGCTAACGCGTGGTCGGAGTCCGAACATATACTTCAGAAAGAGCAGCAGTCCTACGTCGATCCTCGTCAACGATCGCTTGTAGCAATATGAACTGTCCGTGTCCATTATTGGTTTGGTGTCAGTAGACGCCATATGAGGCAGTGTCTGCCTCCCTTTGTGTTTGAAGTGAGTGCTGGTCCGAAACAAGTGACTGTCAGAACGAAATTGCAAGAGACGGTCACCGTTGTCCGTTTGTTGGCAAGGGATTCCGTTGATACCTCGGAGGTGCCTTTCCGATAGGCTCAGCTTTCCTAATTGGGCGTTGAAGTTGCCTACTATTATGACTATAACTAAACGTTTTGCTCTCTGTAGCAGAATTGAAAGTTTCTCATACAATTCGTTCTTTGCATCATCCGAACTGCAGTCGGTTGGCGAGTAGGCGGAGATTGATAGGCATCTCCTAGTCTCACGATCATTCCTAGTTCTTACAAATCCACACAGACGGTTGTTGACTGGTGTCCAGTTCAGAAAGGTGCTTCCTGCCCTACAGCTCAGTGTCACGTCTACATCAGTAAGTACTTTACACGTATGTCAGAGATATAGCATACACCCATGGCTCGGAGTTCCAGAATTCTGACGATCGATGCTTGTTTCCAAACTGGTATACAGTTCGGACGTTGAAATCGACGGCTTTTTTCATTGACAATGGTTGCAGAGTGATAGGTTGGGGAATGTATAAGCGAAGGTATACAGTTGAGCAAAACTGAGATGGCTTGGACATGTACTGGACATGCAGAGCCACAGCCTATCTCTGCGTGTCATGCTAGCAGAAGTTGGATTAGATTAGAAGAAGGTCCAGGGTGGCCCGACCAAGACGTGGAATCAGACGACGAAGTTCCCGACTATTGGTTTGAGTCATGTGGTGAGATGCAGACTACCTGGCTGAGATTTTTGAGACAAAAGGAATCAGTGGTTGAGAACTCTTGGTGAGATGGTTGAAAACCGGTCGCAATGGCGCAGTTGTATTCACTCCTTGATATCGAAAGCTTGGATATTTGCACTGTCCGTTATCTTCAGGTTGTTTATTCTCATGCAACTTTGTCCCCTTTGATATCATTTCTATCTACCTGTTCTTTGCATACTACTGTGAATTGTGGCAACTTGAGCCGATGGAATTGTGAGTAAGGCTCTATGCTGATTGTTTGTCTCATCATATGCTAGCTGCAAAAACATGCAGTGCACCTCTAACACCTCTAAATGCACACGGATTTTAATCTCCGAATGGTACCACGTCTTCGTCGAGGCATAAAATCCGACAGGGACAACAGGCGAAAAAGATATTTATCTCCAAACAAGTAACAGCAAGAAACCAAATAGCTTAAAAGGTGTGTTGTACGGATGGATCATTTCCATTCAGTAAAACATTTCTTAATTCATCCTTGGGCATGTTGCAGAATTTCTACGTCTATAACACTCATGAGAAGCTGCAGTGTCTTTGTGGTGACCCTGTCGGAAAGGATTCTATGCTAAACCAGTATTTGCTTCCCACTGTACATGGAAACTTCAGAGTGGGGACGTCCTGGTGTTCATGATAGGCGTGACATTTGGCATCGAATAGGCTGTAGTAAACTAGTCTACATTTCTTACTGAAAACAAAGAATAGCGCTCGAAAGGTTATGAATAATATGATAAGTACAGCGGTGCGATGCCAGCTACTTCGGATAGGCAGTGGGTACAGAGTTTCCCTACTAAGTTTGTCAGTATGAAGTCATAACACTTAAAAGCAATTAAGGAGAACATTCTTTGTAGATGCAAAGAGGAACTATGAACAGGTGCATAAGTAAGCTTATCTATGCGATTATGGCCTTACACTGAGGTCAAATGAACGGATTCTGTCAGTATAAAAGCAAGGTATGCGATACCATGATGCCAGTACTTCATATAATAAGGTCTACTTCCATTACGAAACACAGCACGTTCAGTGGCCGCAAACATGTGATTCTAAAAAGAGAAATTCTACCAATATGACGGGATGAACTTCGCCTAATTTTATTATTTGTAAATACTTTTCGATAGTAAAACCTAATAATAAATACTCAAGTATGCATTGAAGAAACTCCCCTCATCAATGTAAAAATTTCCTTTACGAGTGTCAGGGTAAATAAGTTTGTTGATTATCATATGACAACAGTAAGGACACAAGAGTAATTTATTTCTAAAATAATGAAGTTCAATTACTTTAAAACACCTAGGGGAACGAAAATCGAAATGTCAGGCTAGCCTATGAATATGGGAAGATGGGGGAAAACATGCCAGCAGATGGGGAACTACGAAAGGGGGGGTTACTTCCAGTACATCACTTTTGCAATACAACTGTAGGCCGGTGTCAGCCGAGCGGTTAACCCTCGAGGCTACCGGTAAAAGCCCCCGAGTGTTGCCAAGACGTCCAACTATAAGTGAAAGCGTGGGGCAACCATAGGTATCGTGATGATACATTGGGTTTTTTGTGGAAACTCCGGGACAGAAATAGGGCTAAATATGTTATACACAGAGCCAAAAGTGAGAAATGTTGCATCAGGCTTTACATCTAACCCCTTTCTAAAGTAAATCGTGCAACACTGTCGTATGTGGCCCCAAGGAAATCATAGTTGGGGAGAAACCCATAGTTATTTTGTTTATTTTTTCATAGTCCAAACTCCAAGTCATAAAGCGGAAAACAACCTATGCATACTTTCGTAACAGTTTTAGGTCTCTGAGTGAAGCACTAAATGAAGGGAGAAATTAGTTACTCTTACCGGCCCGAACATTTCTACTAAAAGCCCGAGGGTGAGACTAAAAGTGATCCTCAGGTGTTATAGTATTCTGCCTAAAAATATGTATTTTATGTATTCTGTACGGAAAGGTTCTGAAGTGGAAAAACCAATCGTAAATCCTTTCCGATGTAATTTGAAGCCTCAACTAACTCACTGTGATCTGCGAGTACTATTTTTCCTGAATAAATGTACTTACTTTCTGCCTAAGAGGTGGAAGTGCAGCCATGGGTGCAACACTACATATGAATAAACGGTGTGATACACGATTCAGTGACAGACGACGTTGTAAAAACCAAGCAAATGATTAGAATATTAGTACAGAACACAGAAAATGTTCGTATTTCCACAGACAACAATACAACTTATGGTGTGCACGATAACACCCGAAGATAACTCAGCCTCGCCCAAAGCCCGAAAAGGCTAATTATTTGTAATGACCGCTTGAGTGCGTAAGGGTATATCTGTGTTATGATTGGTCTATAACTCAAACCCCATAATTCAAACTTCGAGTCACAGAAGTACAGGACAGTGACTCCTTAGGTTCTACACCTATCTTCGTTGAATACTTTTCTTTGTTTAAAATGGTCAGCGAGGTATGAAATGATAGATATGATCAATTAATTAATCAGCTCTCTGCAAATGGTGCCGCTACCTATCCATGGTTTGTAAGACGATGGTTGGCTTCTTGGTACAACCCATCTGTATCAAACGACTCTAAGTATGTAACTAGTCTTATTTTGAAAGTATCAAAAAAGGGAGGGAGTCCCATAGTTTACATATTCTAACTTCAATCTAGTTAAGTAACATGTAATAATAATATATTTCATACAACATACGTTACATGAAAGCAAGCCAGTTTACAGGTTTGATCGTTTTGGTAATGTGAACTGACTGCTATGTACAGTATCAAGCAATACATTAGATACCGTTGTTCATGGCACGTAAGAGATGTGTTTAGAGAAAGAACGTCAATGCTTTGCAGACAACGAATAATAAAACAAATAAACACCAACATAACTGTTCTTCAGACTCAGCCAAGCACAGTGCGGAATTAGGAGTTATTCAGCAAATGTTTGAACCACCCAATATTCTTGGAGGTAGGGTGGGTGGTGGATTGTATGCGTTCGTCATGAAGTTTTGATGGCATGGTGCACGCTGACAAATGCGATTACTAGGATTCCATATGGATGAAGAGCTGGTCAGGTATACCCGAAAAATGAACAACAAAACGAGCGGCAGGCGAAATTCGAAATAGGATCACAATAATACTACTAATCACTTCGTCATACACCAAGCCGGCAAACTGATTTCCTCACCTATTGCGGTATCACTATCATCAGGTAGACCTGAATCATGGCGTCGGGCCCCATATCCGTACAAATGGACCACCAGTGTCTGCACGTCCCAGACGCCTTGATCTCTACAAGCTTGAGATCACCAAAGAAGAATTTGACAAAACACTTGAGCTTCGTGTCATCCGACGCTCCAGTAGTGCATGATCCTAATTTCTGCATATGGTAACGAAGAAGTTTCCTCCTGATGTCCGCCCAGGTGGCGATTACCGGGGTCTCAACAAAAAACAACCCCTGAACAACATCTTTTACTTCATATGCATAATTTAGCCAATAAGGTGCACAATATCATTGTCATCTCAAAGATGGATCTCGTTAGAGACTATTACTCAATTCCAATTAATCCCGATGACATCCAAAAGGCAGCCACTGCTGCTTCCTTTGGTTTGTGTGAATTCGTTCGGATGCCTTTCTGACTTACGAGTGTTGCTGGAGAATTTCAACGGGCTCGTAGAACAGCTATTCTGTGAACTCCCTTTCGTGTATGTTCACATCAATGACTTATTCATCGCTAGTTCAGATGACGCAGAACGCATTAACCACCTGAAAGCCATCTTCTAATGACCCAGTAGCGTCACACACTTCCCCAAAATCAATAGCCTACGGTTTGACGACTTTCTACATCGATGCTGACCTTGATAGTCCAACCGGACTCGCTAAGCTGAAGGCACCCGGTCAAGCATCCTCGACATTTGGCACGCTGTCATGTTACGTTGCACTGCTCGTATTCGACTCTCTAGCCAGTTAGTTGGAACGCATCAGTATTTTGGCACAACCGTCTAAATATACTATTCCATCCGACTACGCTATCGTGTTCTTCCTTGGTCTCGTATTCGTGGGTATATAACAGGCCCGAATAATTAGTGATTGACCTTTGCGTCTGTTAAGTTCGCACCAGGACGAATCCTAAATTGGTGAGCCCGACGTGATTACATATCCCGACCAGTATCAGATACTGAATTGGTGAGCCTGTTCCATTTTATATTTGTATATTGTCTTCATTTCGATAACATTTATATGTCAATTTACTACGCTTCATCATCTCCGACCACACTCCCAAGCTTATTCGTGTTAAGCCAACTACGAACACGATGCAACAAGTGCCATATTGGGCAGACAATGCAGGAACATGGTTTCTGTATGCCGAGGCCAATTTTCGAGAACAGGGTGTCTCAGGTCCTCATTCTCGATTTCTTGCTGTCATACGGTCACTACCGCGAGAAATAAACAGGTATGTTACGGCACACATGTTTAATCCTGAAGTAAGCGATCCTTATGCACTTCTCAAAGCCGCACTCTTGGAGAAAAGCGATCTCACAGATCGTCAGCGCCTAGACGAATTACTTCGTAACATCGAGCTAAGCAGCCACTCAGCTACTGAAGTCCTCGCACGCATGCGAGAATTTATGGGTGCACGAACATCCGACGATGGCCTCTTCCGAGAACTGTTTCTCTCGAAACTACCACAACGGGTGCAGGCCGTGTCGGTGACACTGCGGTCAGTCCCACTGGATGACCTGGCAGCCTCAGCAGATAAAATGCTGCAGATTTCAAGCAGACCTGTCTTCAAAGTATGTTATGTCTGCGACAAACCAGAGCCAGGATTTAGAGGTGATCAAGCTGTGCAACTCTGTTAAACAGTTGCTACGATCTCGGGGTACTAGCTCACGTAGAACTGCACAGAAAGGCGTCTTAGTGCATCGCAGCAAACCGCGTGGCAGCCCCAAAACTAAACCTAACAGGGTGGAAAACCCTGAATGGTGCTGGTTTCATAATACTCACGAAGACGAAGCCAGGAAATTTCGGAAACCATGCAGTTTTAACAAGGACACGAACTCGGAAAACGGCCACGCCCACACGTGTTCACGGCAACCGTAGCCGGCGGAAACAGCCGTTTGCGCTACGTCGCCGATATAAAAACGAAAGTTTGCTACCTCGTCGACACTGGGGCAGAAGTTAGCGTTCCTCCCACACCGACAAAGGAGCGTCATCATGACCCATCCTTCAGTCTCCAAGCGGCCAAAGGCAAGGCAATCGTGACATTCGGGAGACAGTATGCCTACCTCAACTTGGGTTTACGTAAACCTATCCACTGGATTCTCCTCCTGGCTGACGTTTCTATGTCCATCATTGGCAAAGATTTGCTAAACCATTACGATCTACCCGTAGATGCTCACCGTCGACGACTGATGGATAACAACACAAAGTTATCGATTGGCGGCACCACCTATGTAGGTCCAAGTTTAGCCGTCGTTAGAACCAAACAATCAGGTGACACGTCCTACCAAGCAGTTTTGGAGAAATATCCAGAGTTGCAACAACCGAAGCACACCCTTCCGTGCATAACCAGCAATCTTATGCATCACGCGACAACCACAGGTCCACCTGTGGTATCCAAAGCGCGCCGTCTAGCCCCGGATAAGCTCAAAACGTCGAAGGTTGAATTCGACCACATGCTCGAACTGGGTATAATCAAACCGTCAAACAGCCCTTGGGCATCACCACTGCACATGGTTCTGAAAAAGGATGGCAACGACTGGCGTCCAACTGGTGATTACCATCCACAAGCAAACGGCATGGCAGAGCGTTTCCACCGACAGCTGAGAGCTTCTCTTTCAGCTGCAAACATACCCCAGTGGACTGAGACTCTGCCTCTAGTCCCACTAGGTATTCGTAACGCCTCGAAAGTTGATGCTGGATGCACTCCTGCAGAACTCGTCTATAGGACCACTCTTCGCCTACCGGGTGAGTTTGTTTCCCTTTCAACTTTCAAACATGTTTCCGACAGGGCATCTTGCGTGACTAGGCTCACAAACGCAATGCGTTCAGTTAGGCCTTCTCCGGTTAGACCTTAAACGACTGATATTTTCGTTCACCCCAGTTTACAAAAGACATCACACGTGTTTATTCGCCACGACAACGTTCGTCGACCACTTGAACCACCCTACGACGAGCCATTCAAAGTGATCAAGCGACACGAGAAATTCTACATAATTGAGCGAGACGGATGTGAAGATACTGTTAGTATCGACCGTTTAAAAACCAGCTTACTTCGAAGGCAACCCCAGTATAAGTGACGTTTCAGCTCGCTGCAGCCTACCGACGGATAGCTCAATTATCGAAATTCTTGACGATGTGCCTGGTAATGAGCAGTTACGACAACCATCAGCGCAACAGAAAACACGATCAGGTCGAACCGTCAGGTTCCCGGAGTATTTAAAGTAGTATTCAACTTGGTGGTGTGAAATAAAATATGCCAACCGCATTTTTTTGACATTTTTTCCGAGGCACTATTTTTCTTATTTACCGGAAATGCTCAAATCCTCGTACATGTTGCCTTTTTATGTCAATTTTTTTATTACCATGTAATGAAACTTTTTTTAAAAAAGATGAAAATAAGCGCAAACTTTATTTTCGATATATTTGCAACTACATAATTCCCATTTTAAAGAAGCGTTTCCACGGTTTCAAAGACTTGCATTTATATTCCAGGTGCAACGAGCACTGGACGGAACGTCAAAGAAAACTGAGGACTGCGATCGACGTCCAATTCAGTTTGTTATATTTTATTTTTTAACTGCCACGACACCCTAGAATGAGTTCAGACAACCAGGGGCCACTTCGGGCAGTGAGCTCATTGGAAGAGTTTTACCAGTGGAGAAACCACTGGGTTTTTACTTCTGGCTGGCACCGTCTTAGGGTCCTCACTAACCCACTAGAGGGGAGTGATCTGTAGCGTCACACGCTTCCCCAAAATCAATAGCCTACGGTTTGACGACTTTCTACATCGATGCTGACCTTGATAGTCCAACCGGACTCGCTAAGCTGAAGGCACCCGGTCAAGCATCCTCGACATTTGGCACGCTGTCATGTTACGTTGCACTGCTCGTATTCGACTCTCTAGCCAGTTAGTTGGAACGCATCAGTATTTTGGCACAACCGTCTAAATATACTATTCCATCCGACTACGCTATCGTGTTCTTCCTTGGTCTCGTATTCGTGGGTATATAACAGGCCCGAATAATTAGTGATTGACCTTTGCGTCTGTTAAGTTCGCACTAGGACAAATCCTAAAACCCGACAAACACGGGGTACTAATTACTCTTCCAAAATGTGAATTCGGGAA